AATAAATATAAAAATCACATTTCCCCTAATGTCATTTGAAATTTCAAAATTAACCATACCGTAGTGACCTTAGTTGCTTTTATATATCTGTAAATTTTATCAAAGTAATGTACAGTTAAAAAAACTTAAATGCCTTTGATGAAAAACAGTAGTCCCAACTTACTTTACCTTCCAGAGACAATCATTTTGACTCCAAAAGTTGTTTATTTTGGTATTTACCTTAGTGTATCTAAATAATATGCCTATTCTACAATTGCTTAATTTAACACTTTTAGATATTATCTTGATGTTACCAGATAATTCAGCTCTCTAACACACATACCTTCCCTTCTCCCTATTATAATTGTCATAATATTTACTAAATGCATTAGCTATTGTTTAATTATACTGTATACTGTAGCACAAGGCAGTGCACCATGATTATATTTTGCGCAATTTCATTTTTTTGGCAATTAATAATCTCATTTTTAACACATAACTTGCTGGAAATGTTTTTTTTTTTTTTTTAATATATCTTTACCAATTTCAGAGAGAGGCAGGGAGAGGGAGAGAGAGAAATATCAATAATGAGGGAGAGTCATTGATCAGCTGCCTCCTGCATGCCCCAGCCTGGGCATTGAGCCTGCAACCAGGGCACGCGCCCTGACCGGGAATTGAATTGCGATCTCCTGGACCTAGGTCGATGCTCAACAGCTGAGCCACTCCTAGCCGGACTGGAAACATGTCTTAAATTTTTTTCCAACTTCTCGGTCTGTTTTGCTAGGTTCTCTTCACTAGAGAGGTCTATTCTGCATTTGTCTTCTGTGCCAGTTTGTTTATTCTGGTTGTTTTCTTGTCTAGCCTCACAGCCATTGTCCCATGGCTTCCTTTTGTCACCCTCTGTTGGATCTGCTGTCTCCTAGTTTACTCTCTTGTTTACTGGAGCACTTCTTACGACAGTTAAATCTTCCCAAGAAGTGGTATATGAGAGGCAAGTTTCCTGAGTCCTCACATGTCTAAACACGTCTAAAATGTTCTTATTCTACTCTCACATTTCATCTATAGTTTGACTACATGTATAATTTTTTTTTTAATCCTCACCCAAGGATATTTTTTCTATTGCTTTTTAGAGAGAGTGGAAGGGGGAGAGAGAGAAATGATGTGAGAGAGACACAACTGGTTGCCACCACACTCACCCCAACGGGCCAGGGATCAAGCCTGCAACCGAGGTAGTGCCCTCGGCTGCCATCGATCCTGGGACCCTTCAGTCTGTAGGCTCATGCTCTAACCACTGAGAAAAACTGGCTAGGGTGACTACATGTACAATTTTAAGTTAAAAGTAACTTTCCCTCAAAGTTTTGAAGGCATCGTTCCACTCTCTTCTAGCTTTTATTGTTGTTCCTGAAAAGTTTGATTTTTATCCTAGTCAGATATTGGACCTCCTTCACTGATGCTTCATTTTCTTCTCTTTTTCTCCAGTTGTTTTGACACTGTTGTCTCTCTTCCTAGATTTCTTCATTTTCATCTTCCAACATTATCTTTCCATTGAATTATATATGTATATATGTAATATATATTTGTAATTTCTAAGACTCCCTTTTTTATTTCTAAAACATTTATGTTTATTCTGTAAAACATACTAATATTTTTTGAGGACATATATGGATGTATACATACAGGGGTGTGCAAAAGTAGGTTTACAGTTGTAATACAAATAATACAATAATAATACAAGAATAAACTCGTGTACTCACAACTGTAAACCTGCTTTTGCCCACCCCTGTATTTTTGCTTTTTATACTGTTCACACTGATTTTTGTTGGTGCTATTTTTGTTTTCTCTTGTTTATGTAGGTGACTTTCCTTGTATATATGGCTAGTCTCAACAATCTGTCATATATGAATGGACCCCAAAGAATAATTGAAAGCTTTCTCTTTGTGGGCAGTGCTTGACTGGTGATAGGCTTCACTTGCACAGTGCAACTAAAAAATGCCACCCAGTGAATTATTTTTTCTGTTCATGATAAAAAGCTTAAATAAGTAGTAAATAGCTGGCAGGTCAACAGCTGTAGGTGGACTGAGTTTTGAGAAAAGGCATTAGGGAATGCTTATCAGTTCTTAAAAGGATCACTGTTGTGTGGAAGATAAACAGTGTAAGAGCAGAAGTAGGGATACTCATTAAAAAAAGCTTTTGCAGTAGTGCAGGCAAGAGATGATGCCTTGGCTCGGTGAGTAGTAGCGGTGGAGATGAGAAGTCAGATTCAGGTATTTTGAAGGTGCAGCTAACATTCTGAGGCTTGAAATGAAAATTGCAGAGAACACTTGGAAATGAGTGTAAAGAATTCCATTTTGGTTGTAAGTTTGAGATGCCCATCAGACATCTAAGTGGAGATGTCAGGGTGAAGAGTTGTTGGCGCACACATGGTGTTTCATGGCATTGGATGGAACCACAAAAGGTACAAATGTAAATAAAAATACTTGGTATTCTCAAATTTAGAGATTGAGAGGATGAGGAAACTGGAAGTAGCAGCTACTGAAATAAAATGATTCAAAGTGTATATGGAAGCCTCCTTAAGACAATATTTCAAACTACAGTATATATATACATGTTATAGGGTATTGCATTTATGGCTTATTTTCAAATAAAAAATTGGAAATATACTTTGAGGGAGTGATCTAATATGTTAAATATCACTTATAGATAGTAAAGACGAAAATTGAGATTGACAGTTTATTTGGCAACATAGAAGCCATTGGTGATCCTAACGAGCAGTAAAAAAAAAATAAAAATAGAAGTCTATGTTTTATTTTGAATACGAAAAATGGGATGGTAACTGAAATCAAGGGAGGTTTGTTTAATGTGGGAATGTGTTTATATGCTGGTGGAATGAACCAATTGAGGGGGAAATGATGCTATACTCTGACATGCAAATGAGGATCTGCATTGAATTTAGGAGCTATTTTATGTGAGTTTTTAGTTATTTTTGGACAGAGCCATAAAGTGTCCCAGATCTGTCACTCAATATATATCAATTTTGTGTTGATTAGCAATTTACACCCTTTAAGCAGTCATGGGGATTGGTGAAAATTTCACAAAATCTGGTAAGTTTAGTGTTTCACTGAATGAAAAAAACATAAGAAAGCACATACAACTTTTACAGGTTCAAGTTATAGACAATCCACTTTTAAAATACCTGTATGCTCCAGCTAATGGCACCTGGTAACTAACTGTCCTCAAGGATTTACTTACAGTATGTAATGCAGATGGGGGAATAAACCTGGTGCTTTCAGTCCTAATCCAGGGAAGAGATGAATTGGGTTATTTATAAATCTTGGTGAGGAAGAGAACTTGAACTGGGGACAGGTAACTTGGTGGGTATAACACTAAAGATTAAAAGGAATAATTTTAGTATGAAATTTTGTCTACACATTTCACCTGTGCTGAACGCATATATCATCAGCTTACTTGAAATGACACTGGATTAATTAGAATACTTTGTAAAAAGATGAAAATATCTTCATTGTAGTATAAAGCATTTATACACACTTGGGAGTGGGCACAGAGAATAAAGACATTTGTAGGATTAGAGAAGCAGGACACACTGACAGCCCATCTGTACAATAATTTCTGTGACCAACAACTCCAGTTATGGAAAGTGCCCTGCTGGGACTGAGACAGAAAGATTTTTAAGACTTCAGATTTGCCATCCCATTCCTTGTCCCCAATTTTAAAAAGTACCCCTCTTTTCAGCGTTTTCCCAGGCAGAGAAATGAGAGCGCAGCTCCCACAATTTCGGGACACTGTAGAAGAATTTTTTGCGTGGGGACTTCTGCAGCATCCAGAGGTAAGACAAAAATTGGTATCCCGATGCAAGTCTGCACAGCATGTCCTCAGCACAAGGAACAATAACGCACTCACAGCAGTTTCTTCGATGGAGAAAACTGTACCGCGTAAGAGGAGTTAATCCTTTTTAATTTTAACGTCATCCAGTTTAACAGCTTCCAGTTCGGAAAACCCCGTGTTCTTTCAGCCTGTAAACTGCCTCCTCTTTCAAAACACACTACTTTTCTAGGATAGTGTGGTCTCATTCATTTTATCTAAGCTAGCTAACAGAGTAACACGTCACTCCCCACGTCTCTGGTCTCAAAAGCCCGCCGCTTTTCCCCAGCCTCGGCCCCCGGCGCCAGCTGGGGGGACGGCGTCCGATCTGTCGGGAGCGAGATCAGGGGCCGAAACTGCCTACTGGCTAGAGCGGCCAGGGCAGTACCGCCGCTCTCGCTTTTCATTCGCTCTCTATGG